GACGCTTGCTGCTTGCTGCGTGCAGTCTGCACCAGGCTTAACGCTCGCGTTCTGAGAATCCATTCTCTTTGGTACTCACTCTCATCGTCCGAGCTCCAGCTAGACGTCGTCGAGGGTGATATCGCAACTTGCTGAAGCTTGTTGTCATTGTCGTTGTTGTTGTTGTTGTTAACATAGACAACCGTAGATTCCTCGTTCTTTTGGAACATGTTGATGATTGACCGATGAAATGCCGGGATCTTCTTGTCTCGCGCACTTAAAGCGATCGAAGCGGGAGCGATGAAAAGTGGACGATTTCCGCTACTTATCCATTTCGTGTCCTTCGATAAATTAAGAAGCAAATAAACGAATTGCAAAACGTGTCCTTCGATAAATTAAGAAGCAAATAAACGAATTGCAAAACGAAACAGATTATCGCGATTTTAGACTTGCGGTAATTAGAAGTAATCTTTTTTTCTAGGCTATTAATCTTAGTTCTAATTGCACGATATTGTTCTTATATGTTATCCCTAGACTAGTCTGGTCTCATTTGGTATATATTTGTTGTAGAATTCTTGTATCAAGCAAATATTGTCGTCATTAAGTATGCCAAAAATTAGTAAAATTTTTAATTTTTTTTTGTTTTTGATATAAAGTCGACCAGAATAATGTAGATTTGGCTGCGTACTTGAATTCCGTAACAGAGTTTTGCATTTCTATAAAGCCAATTAAAAGATTAATTCTAAACAAAAATGTCGATAAAACAGACGGGTTTAGCAAATACGGGCTCTGTGATTGGTGGTGATTGGACGTCCTAAGATGATCTTAAATATAAGAAAGGACTGTGAATACTGGTCAAAGTGTCGCGAGATGTGCACGACTCCATTGGAACAGAGTGTACCACCGAGAGTACACAAACTAGTATAGTATCCATGCTTGGTATTTTTTAATCTATGGTGGTGATCGACACCGCGTCACCCAATGTTGATACAAAATATTTATTACCTCAATGATACTCTAAATATTGCCGTTGTTCATTGTTGAGTAAAAAGAAAATAAATGCGCGCCGTACTTGCGTATTTTCCCTCCTCCCACTTCCGTATTACTTATGCGCCAGAGTGATATCAGACGTAAGCTCACTTCTTTTTCGTCCTATATAGTACCGTCGCAGCGAGGAAACATGCCGACCAATGCCGACCACTTGTAGCCGCCGTACCTACTTAGTAACTATTATTTGTCACTAGAAAACAAATTACACAGCCAACTAGTAGCCCTAGTACGAATGTGTAGAAGTATGTCAACATTTGTGTGCGACAATTGGAACGCCATTTGTGTCGCCGTGGCACGAAAATGTTTAGGGATATTGCAATTGGAAAGCACCCAATTTTGTGTGCGATGGCCCTAATTGTTAACTTATGCCGGAATCGGTAAAAATTGTCCAATCACCGCTAAAAGTTAAGAGAATAGTTGACTGTAATTGGTTGATTTTTACCGATTCCAGAATAAGTTAACGACCTTTTGTTTATCAGTAGTTTAAATTAGAATGTTTAGAAAACTTCGTCAACGTAAGTCGTTCATATTAAAACTCTGTAAAGGTCTATAAAAGTAAAAAGTGAAGAAATCAATTATATCAACACACACAAGACAGTTTTGTATGTTACCTCAAGCAAAGGTTTAAAACAAAGCATTGTCTTAAGGGTGTAAGACAGCCATTCTGCTCAGGCCCTTACTTATCAGTGTAAAAGCCATAGACATAATATATAAGTACAGGCATAATTTTGAAAAATAATTACAGCACTCTTTTGCATTCGAGTGAACGAGAGAGGAGAATGAGATGGAAAGGGAGAATTGCACTTCGTCTCATTGTCAGACTTGCAATGCCGAACGCAGTTAATGATAAGTTCGCTAAGGTGTGCTTTCTTGCAGACCGAGAGAATTGTACCTGATTCGTGTGAACGATTCTTCGATCCGAGTTCACTAGCCTGAGGATTGACTACCAGATTCCCGTCTAATAAGATATTTTTCTATTTATTCAACGATCCAATGTTATAACTAATGCTATAATTCATCAAGTAGCCACCAACTCACCAAGTAGCCGAAGAACACGGACAAGTTCTACAGATTTAAACGCTTCATAGGGGAAACCAGGCTAATCGTGCGAGAGACGCGTCGTGACTGACTCAGTTAATCCAAAGTTGTTGCTTGAAGGTCGACGTCGATACGTTACACTTGTTTTGTCGATTAGTAAACGTAACTGTGATGGACAATATTCGAAAACTGCGGGGAAAATGTAGACATTAGAGCAGTGTAAAAACGCAAAATTATGTAAATAACAAACTGTGACCAACCTCAAATGGTACACTTCGTGTATTATTTCCTATAAGTTTAAAATCAATTGTAGACTCGCAAATTATAAGTGGTTTAAATTAGAATGTTTAAAAAACTTTGTCAACGTAAGTCGTTGATATTAAAACCCTGTAAAGGTCTATAAGAGTAAAAAGCGAAGAGATCAATTATATTAACATACAAATAATAACATTCGACTCTCGTCGCTTAAATCCTTCTGTAAAAAAATTAAACTCCTAAATTAATGTTGCAGATTGAATTGTGAATTTCGACCGTTACGGCGAAGAATTCGCACATTGTGAACAATTCGATTTCTCCAAGACGATTAGTAGCTATGGTAGAATGCATATAAAATTTATACCTTTCCCGCAAAGAAATTTCCTTACTGTAGCAACAATCGCCGGGATATCGTTGATTTTACTTCTGTTTAGATTTAGGCGGACCGCGGGATCTCTTTGCTCGGGTCTTCTTTATGCCCCGTGACACGTCGTTCGCTCGTTCGTAAAGACGTACATGCGAAAAGGTCGCTTCACGTCTCTCGAGACGTGGGTCAGAAGTGGACACAGCCTGATGTTCCGAAGAGACCACCTTGCTTACTGTACAAACCGTTTTCTCGACACTTGTGCATGATGTTTTTCCGAATTTGCCTATTTTAGGGTTCAACCAACGTCTTCGTATTCTGCAAACTAGACACAGATAATTATACATTTGAATAAGCGTGCCTGTCCAGTAGTCAGGCAATCGAGTACAAGGAGTGTCCTACTACACGCGAACTTGAACCTAGCGATGGAACGTACAAGGCGGAGAAACATCAGTTAAAGTTCACCTTTAGGCGAGGTCTCCGCGTGGATCGAATCGGAGCTGGAATTCGAGGAACGGGGAATGCAGGATCGGCTCCTGTTCGCGGCGCGGTTCCTGTAGGAGACGCTACGCCGACGCTTCCTCCTCGTGGCTGATCTCTGCCGCGACTCCGAGCCGCTCAGCTCGTCCTCCGCCCAGAACTGCCGATCGGTATCGTCCGCGATCGGTGGAGCCGGAGCTGGTGGCTTTCAACATCACGTACATCGCTCTCTGGTCCTTATAATATACATAAAGTATCGTGTATTTAATCTCGCCTAGCTCACAGCTTCCCCATGGATGTCCGAGGCGCGTCCTCGCTTTTCTCCGACGTCGGACGTGCGATTTTCGTAACCCTCCTCCTCGGAGCTGCATGTCATCTTCGCGTCACCCCAGGCGCAATAGTAGCCCATCTTCTTGTTTTACATACAAATACGCGCACCGTCGCAATTTGTCACGCGCAAATTTATTGCATTTTATAATTGCGGCCTCGGCATACTGGCGAATTTTTACGGCACTCGGATAGTCGATCGGGATTGCAATTAAGAGCTATACGAGGTGTGTAGTGTTTTTTTCGTGACTCGCAGGCACGTCGGGTTTACCTATTCGCGATAATTTTTTTTTATAGATCTAATTTCGAGAAGAGAGAGAGAGAGCTAATCCCTTGTTGAATTTGTTTATTTCACGTTTGCAGGAAACAAAATTGCACAATCGACACTTTTAAACAGACGTTTACTTATTCTCTATCTTTTTTATTAATATAATTTATATTTAATATATAATATAATTATATTAATATATAAAATTATATTAATATAATTTATTATATTTAAAGATAGTCAAAAAGGAAAAATTTTAATTGGGAAAAAAATGTCACGTTCGTAGCGCTTAAATTTCACAGCTTACTGTTTTACAACTACCGCAGCTGTCGCACGCATAGTTATATCGTAACTAGCTTTACAAAATACGAGGGAGATCTATTGACTTTATACAATGATTATCACAAATGAACTTCTCTCAAGCTTTGGGAATGGCTTGTCCTCGTACACGACGCATGTACTTTGTCATTGCCTGAAAAATATATGTCTCTTTCCGTCTCTCCGTTCCTACATTCCGTTCTTTCGCTCTCAAGTGCTTTCACGCACGAGAGTATCTTTACATCTGTACAACTCGTTAACGCGGCCTAGTCGTTCTCAGACTTTCTGCGCTTTTTCGAGCGCGGACTGTCGGTATCGTGGGGACTCGGAGTGATGTGACTTCGTTTCCGCTTAAGGCTGATCTCGATCGCCTCGCTGCTGCTGCTTGCAGCGGTCCTGGTCTCTCTCCGAAACGTTCCTTCTCCCGTTGCTTGTACCAATATCTGAAAATAAATCAATGAAATGGTGATGTTCGAAAGTTTGAAATGCGCTCAAAAAGATACGATAAAATGCGCACTGAAAGAGAATACAATATGAAAAAAAAACGAAGTGGCCTAGCATGTCTCTAACAATACTTTTGTATCACTTTCCTCCAGTCCTAGCTTTTTTAGATACGCCAGCAGTAAGCGATAAAGTATGAATTACAGTCACGACCGATCAACAGAATACTTTACCTGCATATGTTGCAAGCACTCCTCCTGCATCGAGACTGCCATTTTGTAGATGAACGTGTCGTGCTTGTTGTACATAATCGCGTTTTGGAACATCACCATGACGTCTCTCTGAAAGTGCATGGTCGACCTGATCGTGCCGTTGTCGATGTTCTTTTTGACGGTCGACAGGTCCATCGGTCGGAAGATGACCGAGTGATAGCCGGGTGCCTGGTCCTCCGTGATCGGCCTGAGAAACACCGACGCGTACTTGTGCGTGGCCAGACGATTGTAGACGAGCATGACCGCTTTCTTCCAAGCGCGATAATCCGCGCCCTCCCCGGTGCCCTCGTTCTCCGGCTCGCTGTCCACAGCGACGTTCTGCTTCTTGGAATACGTCTTCATCGCCCGGCCGCTGTTCAGTTTGCTCAACGAGGACTCCTCCTCGTCCAATTCCCCGGCTTCTTCCCCGACCGTGGATTCTATCTCCTTCTTCATGCTCTGCTCGCCCTCCGTGTTCTTCTTCACGTCCGCTTTTTCCTCTTTCTCCTCCTTCACCTCCACGGCCTCTTTCTTGTCCTCCTCCGATGGACCGTGAGGCGGGCTCTTCTTGTGGCACGAGCCAGTAACTTCCAGGGTCGTTTCGGCTTTTGGTTCCTCAGTCTTCACTTTCGCGCTCTCGGTCTTCTTAATACTTGTTTCCGCGTCGGTCGCGGTCTCGACCGGCTCGCTCTTGACGCTTTTCGCTTCCTCTATGGTTACACGCGTAGTATCCTCGTTTCGATCGACCGGATCGCTGCCGACCTCCTCCTCTTTGACGTCTGCATCCCGCAAGATAGGACTCGTAGTATCCTCCGAGGAATCCTTGATCTCCTCTTTCTTAAACTCGTCCGTGTATATCTCCAACGGTTCCTCGCTCGCGCCTTCCGCCTGTGATTTTACCGAAGGCTCTTCTTTCACCTCCACGACAATCTTCTGTTCCTTTTCCTCTTTGAACGATTCCAAGGACTCGGCGCTTTCAGCCGCGTTCTCGATGATCTGTTCCTCCGCCGCTGCTTTCTTCTTACTTTCAAGGCTTTGGCTGCTCTCGTCGTCCTCCAAGATCAAGCTGATATCCTGCGACTTCTCTGTATCTTCGGCACTGGGCAGGTCGTTCGTCACCTCCGAAGAGACGCTGACGATCTCCGCGGACGGCACGTCTTGTTGTTCCCCTGTAATTTTTGCCAAATATATTTCTAATTGATCTAATCCTGCGTTATTTTTACCTTCAGTGTCTTCCGTAGGCTCCTTTTGCTCTTTAACGCTGCCGGATTCCTTGTCATCGGGCGCAGTCACTTCCGTTTCTTCCTCCTCCTCGTCTTCCTCTTCGACCTCCTCGGCCATGGTCTCGTCTAACGTTTCCTTCATTTCGTCCGGAAGCTTAGATTCATTCTCCTCGGTCTCCACGCTCGACGCAGCGTCCACGGACTTGGCCTCGACGTCCAGTTGTTTCTCCTCCGTCTTACCAGTCTCTTCGTCGTTGATTTTTATCTCCGAAACGAGTTTCTCCGTTAAAGTCGTTCTCTTATCACAAGTACTCTCAGACTTGGTCTCCGACGCGTTTGGCGCGGCCTCTGCGACGATAATTTTCGATTCCTGAGGATCTATGGCGACGGTCCCAATGATCTCGGCGATATTCGAGGTACTGGAGTCAATCTCCTCGATCGCCATTTCGCTCTGCGGCGAGTCGGACAATGACACGGCCTCGTCCACGTCCCTTGGCTGCGGCCTCGGTCCCGCCGCCGCTGTTCGAACCTCCGTCGCTTGCTGGGGCACGCTCGCAAGACCGCTAATGACCGCCGTTGTCGTCGTCGCCGTCTTCGCCGGGCCACTCGTGTCCAGCGTGTCTCGTGTCTGCGGGCTACCGGTGATCTCCTCCTTTATCAGCTCCTCGATGTCGTCTATGATGTCATTTATCTCGTCCTTATCCATCACGTCCGCCATTATGTCTTTCCGCATCACGTCTATGTGATTAATTATCTGTACCATGCTCTCCGACGCGGGCAGGTTCGCCGGAGCGGCGGCAGTTACCGGAGCTGCCGCCGACATCGTCGTCGCGGTTGCCGCTTCGCTGTGAACGGCCACTTGTTGAATCTGGCCAGCCTGCGGCTGCACGGCTAGCTGGAAACGGTGCACCTCGGAGGAAGCGGCGGCCGCGGTCGTCTGTTGTTGTTGTTGTTGTTGCTGTTGTTGCTGCTGCTGCTGTTGCTGCGCATGGGGCGTGATCGCGCTGAGAGACGTCGTTTGCAGATTTGGTAAAGACCCCCTTTTTGTACTCGCCGGCGATTCCAGCAGCCTAGAGAGCGTGGGTGCGTCGACGGACGGCCGTTCTGCTGTCGCGTTCCCGCTGGAATTGGCTATCGCCGTCGTCACCATTTTCTGCAGCTGCTCCGACATGTTCTGCGCCAGCTGTGTGTTCAGCATCTTCGGGCTGGACACACGTAGACTGGGGATGGTCTGCGAGCTCATTTGCAGGGGAATGGACGGAAAGGACTGTACGGTCTGAGTGGTCGGGCTGGGGGTCTTGAGTAGACTCGTCAGCAACGGCGACTTGCCGCCCCGGTTGCTCTTCTTCTCCTCGTCGTTCTCCGCCGACGACGCTTCCGTCGTCGCGGCGAGCTCCTGCGCCACCTCCGTCGCACCTTCCGCGTGTTTGCGACTCTGGCTCGCGAGCGAGCTCGAGGCGGACGGCGAGCCCATCTCTTGCTTCTGTTGCTGCTGACGCTTCGCCAGCCACGCCAGGTGAGTCCGCGCCTTCTGCTCCGTCTCGCGCTCCTCCTGCTGCATGTCAAGCCACATCTTCTCCAGCTTGTCGTTGCCTACCGCGTCGGACTTGAGGTGGTTTATGTCCGTCTTGAGTCGCAGATACTCCTCCTTCTGGCGGACCAGAGCCTGGGTCAGCTCGCTTATCCTCTCCTGCGTCAATTTTCTGACTATGGAGTCGCTGGTGGTCTCGCTGCTCTCCCGCTTCTTCCTCTTGGGCGTGTCGGTATTCTCCAGTAGATACGCGTACTGCATGGCGCACGACTTTTGCGAGAACCAGTCGGCGGGCCGAGGCGGCTCCTTCTCTACGAACGGCCTCAACGACCTCGACACGCTCGCCCAATTCTGATCCCCGGACTTCACCACGCTCGACGCGAGACACAATTGTTCCCGCGTTGTCCACGCCTCGCAATTCGAGCTCGTGCGTTTCAGCTTCATTCCTGAAATTCATTTTCTCAGCTTACTGCCGCGTAACTTGTCTTTCACGCAAAGAGATTGTAAAATTGAATGAATCAAATTAATTTTCGTCGTCAACTTTGCAAGTGGTCACAGGATAAAAATTACAGGTATTGATGTAGCAAGTGCATTTTAGTTACATTTTTCTTAATTCTTCTCTTAAAATTATTCTATAATATGCATCTTATATTTAATATTAAAGGAGCAGAGGAGCCTATAAGCAAATGCACAAGAAAATGGACTAATCAAATTCGTTATGCGTGTGTTTATGCACTTTAAGAATCGACTATGAATACCGGCCTATGAGAGGATACACTGATGTTCTTTTGGTGCTTTCCATTTAGCGACACAAGCGTCTGTCCCTTTCAACACCCAGTGAACAAGGATAAGATAATAAAATGACATTTACGTCAACTTGTGTCGGTAAATGGAAAACTGTTTGTCCGTATAGGTTAGGTTAGCGAAGCCTCGTTATTTCGTGCCGAGTGCCCGTTTTTTGTCAAAGTGGTTAAAACTGACGTGCTCTATACGCGAGAGACATAGGGTGAAACTTTTTATCTAAAATCCATTGTTCTAGAGCCGAAACCTTCGTCGGGACTCGACGCAACAACTGTCTTAACCTATAAGCCAAGCATCTCCCGTCGAAGGCTTCGCCGAAGAATCTCGAGAGCCGAACTTACTGTCCTGCATCGATGCCATCGCGTCTCTTCTCGAGCGTTGACTGATTTGCTGTATTTACGTGACACTCGGCTCCGAGTTCTAAGACAATTTCCTTCGCGCCCTGCACCTCGCCTCGCGGCTCTTCGAGAAGCGTCTGGAAACAGTTCCGTTCCACGTTCCTCTGTTCGGGGGGAAGTTTTTTTTTTTTTAGGCGCGTTAATTGACCGCACGGTGGAAAAGTTTCAGAAACTCCAAATTTTCCGCGTTTTCGAAACGCGGCCGCCGATCGTGCCGGATCCCGAGCTTTTTCTTCGGCGCGAGAAGTAAAAAAAAGTCCACTGGCGAATTCAACATTCGACGAGTTCACGCCATAGAGAACGACTCGTGAATGAGCCCCTGGCGAGCCGTCGTCGTCGCGGAACGCGGAACGGACGGACAGCTGATTGCGACTCGTATTCTAACCCGCGCCGATGAAACGCCGGAACGCAGGAACAGTTGTGACAATCGTGACAGGCGACAGGAGACGTCGTAATGGCGGACCGAGCGGAGAGTCGGAGTATGCGTCAACATAGGTTGTGCTGCTGCGTCGCCGTGAATTGAAAGCAACGCGCGCGTGGCGAGGCGAGGCGAGGCGAAGCGAGCGAGCCGCCGCGTCGAGGATCCGTTCGCGAGGACGACGAACGTTTTGTGAGATCCGCGCGAGTCCCCGCTGCGAGCCTGCGACACGATGATGAACAATCGCAGGCGGAGCAACAACTTCACGTACGTCAGCTCGTGCGTCAAGTACATGATCTTCATGCTGAATTTCGTCTTCTGGGTGAGAAGATGATTATTTCCGCGTTCACGCGCGCCGCGCACCGCCGCGTACGCGCCGACAGAAATGCGCAGTCTTGTCCAGAGGCGCGGACACGCGTTTGTGTCGCTCTCGAATCCGCCAGTTGTTAACAGTTTACTTGAGGCGTTACCTCCAAGTGCCTTCATGTAGATCTCATAGAAGAGTTACAGACGATCAATGTAAAAACGACGATGGTGACGGTAGACGGTGATGGTAGACTGAAACAATTTTTCTTTATGCCCAGCTGTTTGGTGGACTGCTAATCGGCGTGGGCCTCTATGCCTTCGTGGACAAATGGCAGGCGACCGGATCCGTCAGGGTGGAGAACGTCTACGATGTGGTCCTGAATATCTCTCTGGTGATGCTGATAGCCGGCGGAGTGGTCTTTGTCGTTAGTTTCGCCGGATGCGTGGGAGCTCTTCGCGAAAACACATGCCTTCTTAAATTTGTTCGTAAAATCCGTGCGCAAAACGAAAGTGCGAATCCCTTCGAGCGCCGTGAATTTCACTTTTTGTCTTACAGTACTCGCTGTGTCTTCTGGTGTTCTTCCTCCTGGAGATGGGTGTGGCGATCGTCGGTTTTGTATTCCCGCACACATTGCAGTCCCTCTTGGAGGAGTCCTTCACGGACAAAATCATTCAGACGTACAGGGAAGACCCAGACCTGCAGAACTTCATCGACTTTGGCCAGCAAGAAGTAAAGACCGCGGATGAAATTATTCGTAACGACAAGGAGATACATTTCTCGTACAATTCAACGTGTTATTATCCAAGCGTTGTACGAAAATCAACGATTGTTTGCGGTGACTCGGAGCAACTGTGGAAATCTCAGTCCTAATCCATCCTTCGAGATTGTATTTTAAAACGGTTGGATAATAACGCGTTGTACTGTGTAGCGCCCCATTTTTTATTTACTAGATGGCTGCTCGTATAGCTTTCCAAAACTAACACAACGAAAATAGTGTGCAATTTCAATCCCTAGCAGCATAGCGCATTGAAGTTCAGCCAATGTTTGGTCAATGCAATATGCTACTAGGGATCCTACGTCTCCTGTTGAGGCACTTTACAAGTTATCCAATTTTGTACACCGAAATATATTCATAAAATGTTACGTTGCAGTTCAAATGCTGTGGCCTGAGTCAAGAAGGATACCTGGATTGGGGGAAGAATGAATATTTCAATTGTACTAGCCCAAGCGTGGAACGTTGCGGTGTACCGTTCTCTTGTTGCATAAATGCTACTGATATATCCGTACGTACATCGTTTTGCTATGTTCATGCATGGAAAATCAAAGACAATCAAGGGTCACCCAACACCGAATAGAAATAATACAATTTCGTCAATTGGACTTTCAGAGCGGGCTTGTAAATATAATGTGTGGCTACAAGGTCCAGATGTTACCAGTGTCGGAAGCGAGTAAAAAGGTGTGGACCAGCGGATGCATCGAGATCGTGCGCAGCTGGGCGGAGCGTAATCTCTATACGATAGCTGGCATCGCTTTGGGCATCGCGCTCAGCCAGCTCTTCGTCATCTACCTCGCGAAAACGCTGGAGGGCCAAATCGAGCTGCAGAAGTCCCGCTGGCACTCCTGAGCTTGACTTCAGGCCACCTACCGTTACCAGATACATTCTCTGGCCAACAGGCAGGCGGCCAGCGGCCGATCGCGCGGATCGCAGGACACAGAGACAAATATAAACGCGCGAATGGCATTTCTCATCCTCTTTGCGATCTCTTTATACATACTGTGCATTTTGTCCCTCATCAAACTCGTTCTTTATTTCAAGAATTATTTTCACAAGTACGTGAGTAAAGGATAATACGTCGCCGGCGGTTGACGAGCCTTCTTCGTAAGCTAGAGGATACGCGATCGGAGACGTCGATAAAGATCTTGCATAGAGATTATATTACACACGCGAGTGCAGAAATGGTGTCCTGTGCATTTAACAATCGGCGGCAAAAAGGTTCTTTTTAATACTCAGGAAAGCACATTTTCTTGCTTACATAGTTAATTGCATGATTCGAAATGCTTCGCGCATGCATCGAGTTACGTGTCGTGCGATCATGCTCTTGCGAATGCTGCACGGGACACGATTAATGCATTCGTCTTGTACATGCGACTGGTAACTCGAAATGCGTTAAAGACAGAAGTGAGAGAGACATTTACCATGATGAATTACTGTAATATGCATTTCACTGAGCATGTTACGCTACACGATGCATTAAGTTACATTGCATTACGTCATAGTGTTATAGAAAAATCGCAGAATTTTATGATTGCAACACAACCTCTGTTTTCCTCGAGCGTTATATCTTCTATCGATTTGTGATTTTTCAAAATTTTTTCTTTTCGTTTTCCATGTGCAATGCAACACGAAATACGCAATATTCGTGCAATAGGCAACAGTAATTTATTTCAATTGAAGAAACTCGGATCTGATATTATCTCTCTGAGACGCGAGATAACTCATTGCAGTGTATTCAATCGTTTTCCATCATGCTGGCGTAAAGTTGTTTTAATGATTAATATTGATGTACTATTAATAAGTGACATAGGAGCTTGTTTCGTAAGAATTCAGATAACGATAATCGTGTGCACATTTTTGCATCTGTTACTTCCATCGCGATATGTAAGTTAGAACATAATGAATTGGAGATTAGAATATCATCTGTATAAATGAATTTTGATAAATTAATTTGCTCCGCTAAGCTAGGCAGAAATCAAACCGAATTGTTTCGATTTCTTTTTCTATCGTTTAAATATTTTTAAGCATTCAACGCGTTTGTTACATAGAGCAACACGTATATAAGCAACTTTTTCGTAATTGATAAATTACAAATGTATTATTCTTCTATAAATAAGTGGATGTACGTGCACTGTTGAACTTACGAGATACTGACAATTATTAATGGTAATTCTCATTCACTTGTAGTGTATGCGATGCCATATCTGTATTATGAAATCATGAGCGCACATTTATTTGAACACAATATATCTAATTTATATTTCTCTGTCGTTATATTAGCATAACTCGTGTATATGAGACAGGAAACGTCCAGTGCCAAAGTCAGAATATCGTTGCAATTCTGTTTTAAACAAATCTGACAATAATCTGGTATAAATGGTTTATTTAATGCATTTAGATGTCTCTTTGTCAAGGATAAATGTAAAACCAATATAAAACCTTCTAGTTTGTAATAAACAAGTATTATTCTAAGAGCTGTGTTCTTTCGCTGTTACCGACAAGGCAAAATTATGTCGACAGAATCGTATCGAATCCCATATATCACAAGCACGTTCATCACGCTGTTTCAATAGTCGCGTAATTAGTGGATTGTTACCTGCAGAAATTTCACTACACCAAAGTACCATACGTACGATACTTATTTATACAAAGACGAATCTATTACATTATCAGGTACATTATCAGAATATTCCAAGATAACTCGCTCCCCGTCAAAAACAGCGGAGTCTTCAAATAATTTTGTCAACGGTGTGTCCATCTCGCTGCATATCAGATCTCCGGTAGAATGGCGGAAGAGTCTCAATTTATTCGCGGTGGCAGTATTGTTGTTGTTGGGAACTTTAAGCGTGTCCGCGATCGAATCTATACATTTGCCAAATGTCCAGTGCATGTTGACGTAGGCGCCCTTTGACGTACCTATGTGTTTGTTTTTAACCGTGAGCGGCAAATGCACGAGGAAGTAACTTCTCTCGCTCGTCGGCACATTTTTAGGACCAATCGCAGAACACTTGACACGCATGAGTTGTACCTGCGAACGGAGGAAGATTTATATAAATCTGCGTTGGGTTTACATGAAAATCCTATTTTGTACACATAACGTGTAGAACCTTGTTTGCCAGTGTTGTGTTCTTGGATTTCCTCAGACTGTCCGCGATTTGTTGATCCACTATAGCTTTCGCTTCTGCAAACTGCTTCTTTGGTATCTGCCACTTCTTCAGTTTCTGCGTCTTCTCGGTTTCGCTGGGTTCCAAGCATCCGTGGTGCCTGTGCGTCACGCAAAAATGCTGCTTGCACTTGACACAGGGCATCTCGACTGGCGACGCATCCTTGCAAGACTCCTTGGAGCACAGAAAGCTTGCCGATTGTTCCACAATGGATCTTGTGGCCTCTGTTTTTAAACACTCGTGCGACACCACATTGAAATGCTCTTTACAGAAGGTGGCCCGACAATGCTCGCACACAAACGGCAGAAAGTCCAACAGTTTACAATCTTTCACCGAGCAGCGTTCGCCGGTCTTCGGAAATTCCATTGTGGCGCAGCGACAGGGTATCAAGGATCACAATTGAACTTGACGAGCTTCCCAGCATTCGGGGGCACTGGAAGCGTGATACTTAGTTGTGCAACGGCGTCGGAGAGTGCAGATGATTGTCGCTGAGAGAACTCAAGGCCAGATTGTTCCACTTCTGCTCCAGCTCCTTCAACGTCATGTGGGAGTCGCCGTTGTCGCTCTCAGGGTCCGGCAGCTCGGCCACTGGCGTCGAGATGTCGTCGATGGGCAGACGTTCCTTGCGCCAGCCCTCGTCGATCACGTCTATCAGCCTGCCGTCTCCGCACACCTGACTGTCCATCCCGCAAACGACAGTCAACACACTTAGGCTTGAGAAAACATCGCTGTACTTACAATACTATCTCAACAGATTAACGGGTCTTACACAAGAGTTTATTATGTATTAATCTAAATTCTACGCGAGATTAAACGCAATTACGCAGCAAGTCGAGCACCCGGGACCTTTGCACGAGTCAAATTTATCACATTCACTTTTTGTCAATTTTTCAACGTACTATTAATTTTTCTCGTGAAGTTAATCGGGCTGACTCGTGAGATGTCTATTCGTTTTCTATTCTCTATTCTCTATCCTAAAATTAGCAAAAATAAATCGCAGGTCCCGTTTCACGTTCACGCGAGTAGGATGGCTCAAAAAGGACAATTAATCTTAAAAGTGGGAGGTTGATTACTATTATCAAGCAATTACGTGATTTAGGCGAGTTCCGAATACTCACTACTGAATGAAAAGTTGGAGAGAATCTCTGATTCCTGTATATTTATCTATTTTATTCAATCTCGGATGCCTGAAAATCAGCAGAATCGGTAGAATCCGTAAAATCACCCGCACAAAATAACGAAATAGTAATAGACGTGATTAGGGTCTCTAGAAGAAAAGAGTCT